TAGTCTATATATATAAAAGCCAAGCGACCAGAATGCCAGAATGACTGGAATGACTGGTCGCTATGATGCCCACTGCATCTGGCCAACTGGCCCAATTTGGGGGGGCGGTCCCTCCTCCCATCCAGCCCCTAGTCGGATCGGGGGTGGGGCCGGCCAGCCAACCTCCGGTGGCCCCTCCCCCTGACTGACCCCACCCTCAATCAGGGTGTGGTGGGACGATTGGGGGTGGGACCAGTGAGGGGGAGGTGTTGCAGGCAGTTGGCCAGCTGGCCCTGCCCTTGATTGGGGTAGGGGAGCCTATCGGGGGCTGGGCCAGCCAGGGGGAAGGGTGTAAGAGGTTGGCCAGCCAGCCCTGCCCCCAATCCATCTGGGGCTGGCTCAGGGGAAGGGCTGCCTCCCGATTGGGCCTGTTGGCTGGCTGCAGTGGGCATCATAGTGACTGGTCGTTCTGGCATTCTGGTTGCCTGGCTTTTATATATATAGATTATTGTATCTTTTTCCACATGAACTGTAAACCTACTTGTTGGAGTACTTACTCCTGAACCCTGCTCCCCTGCTCACTGTGGAGCTTGTGGGAGCAAGTTTCTCTTTGATCCTGCTCAACTACAACTGTGGGGTCTTAGTTCCCCTACCAGGAATAGGACCTTCATGGATGCCAGGTATTAGATCAAGGGTGGGCAAACTTTTTGACGCGAGGGCCACAATCGGTTCTTAAACTGGACCAGAGGGCTGGAACAAAAGCATGGATGGAGTGTTTGTGTGAACTAATATAAATTCAAAGTAAACATCATTACATAAAAGGGTACGGTCTTTTTTTAGTTTTATTCATTTCAAACGGGCCGGATCCGGCCCGCGGGCCGTAGTTTGCTCACGGCTGTATTAGATGGAGAAGACAGAAGTCATAAGCATAGAAGAGAGACCTTATTGCAGACAAAGTAGCCATTGCTTCCACGTAGCCATTAGAGAAAACAGTTCTTCAAAGTAGCATTACAAAGTAGCCACATAAAGCAGCCCTTGCTAATACAGTAGCAAACACAGGAGCCATACCAAGCAGCTGCACACCATCTGGTCAACAACACATCTTTACACCAACTTAGATAAAAGAGCCTTCTTGCCAAATAGTGACATCAGTATTTGGGTTATATGTCCTTGTTCATATCTTATCCATATGTCCTTGTTAAATCTTCAGATTTTGCTAAAATCTCTCAAACAAGTTGAAGGTGGTGGCAGCATGCCCGAAACCTATCAATAAAAGGCCCAAGAAAAGTACACCTGCACAGTGCATACAATATAATCTCTGTGTTCTTGCTTTTGCACCTGCGTAAGGCAACTTGGCCTTGCACATATGGCATACTCTGGACAGGGCCCCCAACCTCAAATTAACCTTGAATATTCAGCATAGTTTGATTAGGGTTCCCACACTACTTTTGCCCCAAACTATATGCATAAAAAGTACAAACTCTTCTGCAGAAAATGCTTTTTTCCCCTATTCTAGCATTACCTTTATAACTGATTTAGTAATAACTATCAGTCTTTTTCTAAATTGTGTATGCAAGTTAGGAGCTAAAGATGAATGCCTGGGAGAACTAAGATGGCCCCATAGGTAAATGCCTGTACTCACTGCCTCCCACAACCACATCAAAATTACAACTAAAATACAGAACAACCATCATTCAGAACCGAATGCAAGCTGGCTGAATGGAAGTCCTACAACTAGAGAAATAAAGAAGAAAGCATATTGAGACTGGTAGGAGGGGCAGAGGTGCGGAATGGTCCAACACCCACGTGTGATGTGTTGTTTTTTTTTAAATCAGGAGGGAAATCATCTCTGTGGAGGCTGCCCGTGAAGAACAAGGGGTCCCTGCCCACACCAGACCCCCAGCTCAGGGACCCAGAGCTGGGAAGAGAAGTCCCCATAATTATGGGCTATAAAAACCAGCAGGGATTGGGGAAGAGAGACATGGAGGCTGCTGGAGACCCAGGTGTTTTTTTTAAAAGGCTGGCACATGAACTTACACGGTCCCGCTTCATCTGAGCTCCAGCGCTGGGCACAGGGAAGCTGCTCTGGGTGACCCAGACACATACTGGGAGGAACTGGATTGTCTGGCATCGGGTCAGGAACTTGCGGGCAGCTTTCTCCCAGTCAGGGGTGCTTGCAGGGGTAACTGTTCCTGTGATGAGACCTCCCTGTGGCAGGGCTGGCTGGCAGCCATATCTGTTGGCTCCATCCTGATGATTCCCTGAGACCCCACCCCGTCCAGTTTGCAGTCCCTCCAAACCTGTTTGCAGCAGCTTATCCATATGTCCTTGTTCAATCTTCAGATTTTGCTAAAATCTCTCAAACAAGTTGAAGGTGGTGACAGCATGCCTGAAACCTATCAATAAAAGGCCCAAGACCTAGCACTAGCACCAGCCTGCTTTGCTACATAGCTAGGCCTTGCCTGGGCATCTCAAAGCCCAATACAAATAGCTCCTGTAGGATGTCCCCAGACTGGCTGACTTTGCACCTCCCGGGAGGCCCTAGAGCCAGTGCACCTGATGGAAAGCTTCAGACCATAGCAGATTATAACTCTATGCATCCACAAGTGACACACTCAAGAGGCCAACTCAGTGAGCACCAAAGCCCCAATGAAGCAAGTCCTGCTCCTTAAGGGTGTTTTCTGCACAGCAGCTCTCCCACTGTAGTCATAGCAGGTTCTCACAGCCAATTGGCCTAGAGGTCAATTCCTCCCAGAGATGCCAATAGCAATGAAGGTTCAACTATAAGACTATGCACACAGCCTACACTGGGGGTCACCTAGAGTACCCAGCTAAGGTGACATACTACAGGACACATACTACACAAGGTCACTCTGCCCATTCTAGGGGACATAGCAGCTCTAATACATAGAAACAAACTCAGGGAAGAAGCCAAAATGCAGAGACAAAGAAACATGTCACAAATGAAAGAAATGGAACCAAGCAAACTACTGGATACAGAGTTCAAGTCCATGGCTATAGGGTTACTCAAGGGTCTTCATGAGAGCTTCTAGGCTAGTGGTTCTCAACCTGTGGGTCGTGACCCCTTTAGGGTTCGAATGACCGTTTCACAGGGGTCACCTAAGACCATTGGAAAACATATATAATTACATATTGTTTTTGTGATTAATCATTATGCTTTAATTATGTTCAATTTGTAACAATGAAATTGGGGGTCACCACAACATGAGGAACTGTATTAAAGGGTTGTGGTATTAGCAAGGTTGAGATACACTAATAAAAGAGAAACATGCAGATTGGTGTCACTCTGCTACGCCCACCAGCCAATCAGGATGAGTATGCAAATTAACCCAACAAAGATGGCAATTAATTTGCGTATGCAAGCATAGTGATTAATCACAAAAACAATATGTAATTATATATGTGTTTTCCGATGGTCTTAGGCGACCCCTGTGAAAGGGTCAGGATGTATTTTCAGGGGTCGTGACCCACAGGTTTAGAACCACTGCATCTAGGGACTTAATGAGACTTTCAAGGATCTTAGTGAGAATGTCAAAGACATGGAAAAGGACCCATCAGAAGTTAAGCATACACCAATTGAAATAAAGAATAATTTACAGGGATTCAACAGTAGAGAATTCCAAGAATCAAATCAATGATTTGTAATATGAGAAAGCAAAAAACACCCAATCAAAAAAGCAAAAAGAATCAAAAAATATGAAGATAGTTTAAGGATCAACTTCAAGTGTACTAACATTCATATTTTGGGGGTGCCAGAAGGAGAAGATAGAGAGCAAGATATTGAATACCTATTTGAAGAAATAATGACGGAAAACTTCTCCGACCTGGTGAAAGAAATAGACTTACGGGTCCAGGAAGCTGATAGTCCCAAACAAGAGGAACCAAAAGAGGCCCATACCAAAACACATCATAATCAAAATGCCAAGTGTTAATGACAAATAGAGAATCTTAAAAGCAGCAAGAGAAAGAAACTCAGTTAGTTACCTACAAAGGATCCCCCATCAATCCCATCAAATGAATAAAAAATCTGATGAACAGAATAAACTGGTGAATGGAATACAATCAGGAGAATGGAAATGGAACAGACTGACAATTCTCAGAGGGAAGGGGGTTGGGGAGTGGGAAGAGATTAACCAAAGATCTTACCTATGAACACAGACAGTTGGATGGTGAAGGCCTGTGGTGGGGTGAGTACAGGGCGCAGGGGAGCAAAAGTGGGGAAAAGGAGAATATCTGTAATACTCTCAACAATAAAGATTTTTAAAAAAGATGAATGCCTAAAGCTCTATGATCATTAGGAACTAATGATTGTTTGTAGTGAGAGATAGGAAACTAGAAACCAAGTGGATAAGAATTCCAAATAATTCATAGACTAAATTTGGGACATTAATTTATATTTATTTTGTCAGCAAACAAATCTGAGAGAAAAAGAGGGGGAGGCAGAATGTGTACTGAATGATTTGTCTTAATTATTTATAAAAGTAAATGGTGAAATGATCCATAAATTTGAGGGAATAGAGAGACGGATGAAAAGCACCCATAATGGGTTTTTGAGGCCCATAGACTTTATGGTCTTATGTAGTTGATATTTTACCACTCTTTTTTTGCCCTCCATAAACACAAAATTTTCTAGCTTGAAGTTTTAAATTGTGGGTGTTCTATAAACTAAAATAGACTACTATCTCTGCTATTATGCATTTTCAATGCAATAGAATACTTCTCAAGAATTATTATTCAATGTCTGATTACCATAGTGAAGGTGAAAGTAGACTCAAAACAGAAAGTTGTCTAACATGTTTACTCAAAAATTTCCTAAGTCCTAACACATATACTCTCTAAGTCAAAAGAGGAATTCTGGAAATAAATGCCATTGTTTTTATTTTTTCTGAAGACTAATTTACAGGAGTATGTATATTTTTATTTCAATTGGATATTTTCTTACTTTTCTCATGGTCACTTGAGTACAACCCCGATGGACACAGAACTGGGAGCACCCTTACCTTTTGACACAGGGTGGTAGTCTTCTCCAGAGGTGGCCGAGCCATCCTTGGTGTGCACTCTCACGATGGAAACCTTTGAAGTGTCTCCTTGGCGAATGACTGGAATCTTTATTACCACTGATTGTCCTGGTTCTTTAGGTTCATTTATGCTAAATTTGATTTCTCCGAATTTAATAATAGTCTCTAAAATTGTGGGAAATAGAAATAATTTAAATTGTAAAAGGAATTTTTCTCCATTTCTAATGTTTCTTTCCCTGTGGGAAGAGCTTAATTATTATTATACTCCTGGCTTCTTTCTGTTTCCTCACCCAATATTATTGAGTGTGTTAGGAACAACTGAGCACACATAACATAGTCCAGCCCCTTCCTTAGGAATTAACCAGTCCTCAAAGAGCATATGCTCTAGGCAGTCTCTATGTGCCAAAATTTTATGGGAGCAGGCCACTGAGAGTGGGAAGAGAGGGAGGAAATTGTTGGCCCAGGACTGTCTGCACCCAAATGTATGTCAGGAAAAGAGGGGAGGTATGAATGTTAGGGATTTAGTATCCTATATAAAAAAGGGGTAATATGCAAATTGCCCCCAACAGCAGAATGCCTGGGAATGACTGGTCACTATGACACACACTGACCACCAGGGGGCAGACGCTCAATGCAGGAGCTGCCCCCTGGCGGTCAGTGCGCTCCCAAAGGGGGAGCTCTGCTCAGCCACAAGCCAGGCTGATGGCTGCCATTACAGTGGTGCACAAAGTTTTGTGCACCAGGCCTCTAGTTTAGATATAAGCCATATTCTTCAACATCAACTTTCAGTTTTAATGGTTTATTTCATTCCTTATTTTACTCTCTCTTTTTTAAAAAAATATATTTTATTCATTTTTTTTTACAGAGAGGAAGGGAGAGGGATAGAGAGTTAGAAACATTGATGAGAGAGAAACATTGATCAGCTGCCTCCTGCACACTCCCCACTGGGGATGTGCCCGCAACCAAGGTACATGCCCTTGACCAGAACTGAACCTGGGACCCTTGAGTTCGCAGGCCGATGCTTTATCCACTGAGCCAAACTGGTTAGGGCGACTCTCTCTCTCTCTCTCTCCCCCCCCCTCTCTTTTAATTCTCATTTGTTTTAAAAGCCTAGTCAAAAACAGTGGGCTGTTTCTAATCTACCTGAAACTTTAACATAAACGGATTTCAGTTCCCAATTGAAAGTTGAGAATAAGAAATGACTTCTTACTATCAGCATCATCTCGGATCCTTATCAGAGTTTCATTTTGTTCACCAACTGTAGCCCCAAAGGGAGAGTTGCTTTGTGGAGTGCCAAGTACTAGGCGAAGTTCCTCTATTTCCTCATAGAGTCTGTCGTCCATCAGCTCAAGGATACAAGGCTTCTCAGTCTCACCTAGAACAATAATGACAGGAGATCAATCATATACTATAGGCCAAAAAAGGTAAATCTGCAACTAGAATATAAGCACCACAAGGGAAAGCATATTGCCTTTTCCTTGCTTTATCAACAGTGCAAATAATAGTGTCTTCAATAAATATTTGTTGAATGAATAATTGTTCATTCATTGCAATGACAAGCCAACTATTTGAATGGGATTTCTTTAACATCTTTAAGTCTTTAAGTCCTGTCACTCATCTTAGAAAACAAGGAAAAAGAGCAAGTGCCAATTTTTGTTTATAAATTTCTAGCATTATAATCAAGAAGTAAATTTAGCAGCCTAGTACATGTTGATCATTGTTAATTTGACCGCAGTACCATTTTCTAGAACAATTACTAGATCTCAACTGATCAGATATTTTAAGGATCTGGATACATATATTAAAAATCTGACATCAATTCCTTTTAATTTCTGTCACTTGAACATTAAGTATCTCCTCGTATTGTGAAATCTACATATATGTTCCTATCACTGAATAAGTTTTGAATAAACAATATAATAAATCACTGAAATTTAATCAATAAATTGATACAGAAACCAAAAAGGACATTCACTTAACCTGTTACAATCTACCTCACCATGTTATCATTTAGTGTACATAATATTACGTCATAAGCTTGTTGAAATCAAGAACTTATATGTTCCTGATATATATTACTCACAAAAATTTGGTCTACTAAAATTTCAAATAAACATGTCAAGCTTAAACTTACCTGGCAGGAATTCAACGATAGAGATATCAGTGTTTGGGCGTTCTTCAAAGTCCATCATCACTTGTGCAGATCCCTGTCGTGTATAGCATCTTACTGAGGACATGAACTGGAGATCTCCACTCCTGTGGATTATTGCAACTATCTGCCTGTCATTTTCATTGACAGTATATACTCGTTCTTTGAATTGCATCTTAGGTACTGCAGAAACAAATAAACATATGGGTGAAACTGAACAAAAAATTTCTTAATGAAGTGACATTTCAGAAAACATAGTTTAGTGGAAAGGAAAGTGAAACAGTTGTGAGAGGAGGTACCCAGTCTCCACTCAGTCACTTGTCATTGTTCTGGCCTTGAGAAAATGACTAAACTTTAAATGTTTTGATTTCCTTATCTTTGAAATTTGCTCTTCCAACTGGTGGAGTAGGGAGATGCAATGAAATGCTAAAAAGTGAATAAACCAGATCCCCATATGTGTTACTTACTTATGAGCTTATCAGAACTTCTTGATATGAATACCACTAAATATTGTGCACATTATTACAAACATAGTTTACTCATATCATGTTGGAAAAGTTGACAATGTGTATAATATTATACATATATGAAATATTTAGATGACAGCTATGCTACATCAATTAAATATAGGTCTCATTGACAATAGATTAGGCTGCTCAAAGAAACATCAAGATAATTATGGTAGAAGATTATTCAGAATTCCCTTGTGAAGATGTGTTAAAGAGCCATGCCATGTGTCTAATAGGTACTTGTTTTAGAACAATGTATTTGGCACATCATTAGGAAAATTTCAGCACTGTCTGAAGATGACAGAAAGTGTCTTATGTTGAGAAATAGAAAAAAACCATTGACATTCCAGGGTCTATGCAGCCCTATGTGTTTCTACTCATCTGTGATGAAGCGATTCTTTTTTAATTTAAACATTTTTTCAATTATAGATGACACTTAATATTGTTGACTATATTCCCTGTGCTGTGCTTTATATCCCCTGACTACTTTGTAACTGCAAATTTGTACTTATTAAACACTTCACTTTATCAGCGAACCCCAACTACCCTCCAGGATCCTGGCAACTGCCTGTTTGTTCTCTGTATCTATGATTTTATCTCCATTTTGTTTATTCTTTGTTCTAGATTCCAAATGCAAGTGAAATCTTATGGTATTTGTTTTTCTCTGTCTGGATTATTACATTTAGCATAATACCCTCTAGACCAGCGGTTCTCAACCTATGGGTCGTGACCCCTTTGGGGGTCGAACGACCCTTTCACAGGGGTCGCCTAAGACCATCGGAAAACACATATATAATTACATATTGTTTTGTGATTAATCACTATACTTTAATTATGTTCACTTTGTAACAATGAAATTGGGGGTCACCACAACATGAGGAACTGTATTAAAGGGTTGTGGCATTAGGAAGGTTGAGAACCATTGCGACCCATCCATGTTGTCACAAATGGTAAGATTTCATTCTTTGTTTTATGGCCAAGTAATATTTGATTGTATATATATGTATAACATTTTTTTATCCAATTGTCTATCAATGAACACATAGATGGCTTTCATATCATAATGCTACAATGAACATAGGAATGCATATATATTTTCAAATTAGTGTTTTAAATTTCTATATTCAATGTGGGATTGCTAAGTCATAATGTAGTTCTATTTTTATTTCATTGAGGAACCTCCGTACTGTTTTCCATAGTGGCTATACCAATTTGCAATCCCATCAATAGCGCATGGGTATTTTCTTTTTTCTACATCCTTAAACATGTTATTAATTGATTAATTGATGATGGCTATTCTGACAGGTGTGAGATATCTCATTTTTTATTTAATTTGCACTTCTCTGATAATTAGTCACATTGTTCATCTTTTCATATGTATGGGGCATCTCTATGTATTCTTTGGATAAATGTCTATTCAGGTACCCTGCTCATTTTTCAATTGGATTTTTTGTGTTGTTTTTTTTTTGTGTGTGTGTGTGTGTGTAAAGTTGTATATATTCTTTATGTATTTTGAACATTAACCCTTTATAGGTGTATCATTGGCAGATATATTCTCCCATTCAGTAGGTTGTTTTTGTTTTTTAGATGGTTTTCTCATTTTAGTTTGATATAGTCCCATTTGTTTCTTTTATCTTTTTATTCTCTTGCCCCAGGAAACATATTAAAAAAATATTACTAAGAACAATGTCAAAAAGTTTACTACCAATATTTTCTTCAAGCAGTTTTATGGTTTCAAGTCTTACATTTAAGTCTTGAATCAATTTTGAGTTTCTTTTTGTATATATGTAAGAAGATGGTCTAGTTTCATTTCTATTGCATGCATTTATCTAATTTTTCCAACACCATTTATTAAATAGACTTTTTTTTACCCCACTGTATGTACTTGCCTCTTTTGTCATATATGAATTAAACATATAGGTGTGAGTTTATTTCTGGACTCTCTATACTATTCCATTGATCTTTGTGTCTCTTTTTATGCCAGTACCATGCTGTTTTGATTACTATAGCCTGATAGTACAGTTTGACACCAGGCAGTGTGACACCACCAACTTTTTTCTTCTTTCTCAAGATTGTTGTGGCAATTCGAAATCTTTTGTGGTTCCATATAAATTTTTGGATTATTTGCTCTAGTTCTGTGGAAATACTCCATTTGTATTTTAATAGAAATTACATCGAATCTACAGATTGCTTTGGGTATTATGGGCATTTTTAATAATGTCAATTCTTCCTATTCAGAAGCACAGTTTATGCCTCCATTAATTTGTGCCTTCAACTTCTTTCTTCAATGGCTTATAATTTTGTAAGTACAGGTCTTCACCTCCTTTGTTATATTTATTCCTAGGTACTTTCTTTGATGCAATTCTAAATGGGAATTTTTTTTAGTTTCTCTTTCTGATGCTTCCCTATTGTTGTATAAAAATGCAACCAATTTCTAAATATTTATTTTATATCCTCCTACTTTACTAAATTCATTTATCAGTTCTAGTAGTTTTAGGATGAAATTTTTAGGGTTTTCTATATATAGTGTCTGAAAATAGTGAGAGTTCTATTTCTTCCTTTCCATTTGGAAGTCTATTATTTCTTCTTGCCTGATTGCTGTGGGTAGGACTTCCAGTACTATGTTGAATAAGAAGGGAGAGA